CGGTGTGGGGGGGGGGAGGGGTTTTAATGGAGGGGATGAGAAGGAAGGGAAAGGGATGAATTATAAATTTTGTTTGGCTGAAAGGAGGGGAGGAGAGGTAGCTCTTTTCTTGTTTGGTTCACAAGTAAAAAGGGATTTTAAAAACTAATTTACTTTTGTATCCTTATAATTTTAAATTTGATAACATAAATAAAGATATTATAGATTTTAGATATTATATTAAAAATGCTTTAAAATCCCTTCCCTCCTTTCCAAATTCCCCAATACTGGAGGAGAGCTAAAATTAGGTTAGGAGAGATTTCGCTCCCCTTTCCTCCTAAAAATTGAACCAAACAAGAAAAGTTTTTAAAAATCTCTCTCCTCCATTCTCCTCCAACCAAAACACCAAGTCTCAGGTCATAGTCAATATCACACTTTTAACAATCAAAGAATGAACACCTGATGATTGAACCAGAATTGCAGATTAGGGAGATTAAAACTATAGATTGAATATTATAGGGGACCAAATTGTAATTTAGCCAAAATAATAAAAGGAAGACAAATTTGTCTTCCCAAATTACCTAAAAATGACTCACACAACCTTTTCTTTCAAAATTTGAAATGAACCTCAAAGTAATCTTTCCAGCCTATGGCTAAAACCAACAAGTCAAATTCCCAGCCTATAGAAAAATCCAAAATATTTGATGCATCTTTTTTAATAGTTTGAAGAACCATAACCCACACATTCTGAATTTGTTATAAAGTCCAGCGGCATGTTGATATTCAGATAATTATTCAATCAACAATTCTCTCCGAAAAATTAACACTAGTTATTTGGATAAACAATGACGATTCTGCCAAATACCATACCACTCTCTACATTGATGCGCCTTTGAGGAACCATAATCTGGTAAATCTAAATGTGTAATAAAATCTAGCAGTATGTTCACATTCTGAATAACTCAATCAAAGTATGAAGTCCTTCAGCTTGTTGGCAATGAAATAATAAACAAAGGACAATTCATCCACCAATTCAAAATTTCCTTACAACTCATCACTCTTTCCACTACAATTCCTTTTCGTTTTCCCCAGCAAGCAATGCCACATATCCATTGCCTAACCTAACAAAACCTCACATTCACAATCCCAACGGTAATAATAACTTATATTATAAATAATAATAATCAAGCTAAGGAGAAAAGCTACAACTGCATAATACACTTGATTTGATGCAAAAATCGCCGTCTCACAACCACCGATCAAATCGAAACAGTCCAGGTTGCAATAACAATAGAAACCCTAACCTTTATTTGAGAGTTTTGGGAACGGCCACAGATTCCGACGAATTATGCGTCTCCACGACTTGCTGCTGCTGCTGCTGCTGCTGCCGGATGACGGTGTTCCTCTCGTATTCGCGCCACTTGTTGATTGCGGCGGTGCAGATCACTGAAACGTACGGTTCGTTAAATTCGATGCAAGTGATGAACAAAAAAAGGTGCGTGAGAGAGAGAGAGTATTGGATTACCTGCGGCGCCGACGAAGTAGACGAGACGGAGGAGCTTGGGGCCGGCAGGGCCGGAATATTCTTCTCCGGTCATGTCTCTGCGCCGCCGGTGAGTGCTTCCTTCTTCCCACTTCTTCGCTACTAACTTCAACTTCTCTTTCAGTGACTATCTTCGCCCTTCACGCTTCAACCCTGTGAAACACTACAAGTTCTATAACCTCCTTATTTAATTATTATTCTAGTGAATTGCATTTTAATTTTATAAACAATATATGGAATAAACACTATTTTTATAATTTAATAATCAATATAATTATTAAATAATATTTCAAAATTATAAACATGTTATACTTTATTTTTTTTTTGAATAGTGCACATTTCAAACTTGACCTAGGATTGCTCGGGTTTTAGTAGGCGTTGTGCGTAGTGCTCGGCCTGGGGCGCGAGTGTGTTCTTCATCGTCGACCGAACGTTGGTCGGTGTCACTGCTTCCATGCGTAGTGCTCGACCTGGGCATACAATAAAATTGTAAACGATATAATGAGATTTTGAAACTTTTATTAATGAAGTGCCTCGTTAAAAACCTTGCCGACCCAAAACCCTCCTTAGGGAAAAAAGAGTCGGCTAAGGAAAAGAGTGCACTGTTACATCAGCTGTAATACATTTTCAAATGAGAAGAATTCCAAGTTCTCGGAATTGGTTCTCCCGATAGGTGCTCCAGCTTGTACGCTCCGTTGTTCAGGTTGTGTCGGATTCGGAAGGGACCGTCCCAGTTTGGGGCGAGTTTCCCATGTCTCGGATCTTTCCTTGCCTCGCCTGTGGCTCTCCAAATGAGATCGCCTTCGCG